AGTATTAAATGACGAGGTTCCATTGTAGCCATGATTTCTCTGCCACCTCAAGGGAACATTAGTCAGCGAAAAAGTATAAGCATGTCGCGACCAAAAAAGAAACAAAACAAGGATATCTAGACACCCAGGTAATGCGTGATCAGTCACAGTATCTTCTGTATAAAGCGATTACGCTTATATCGTTTGTTGGCAATGGATCCTGCAAAGTGAACTAATCAGGTTTTTGTATGAAGACTGCTTATTTCGAAGACCCGTTTGATTTCGACTAGTATTAATCAAGTGCATAGGAATTACACTTGCAAGCATTTGCGTATTTTTCATACCAATACCGTTTTTATTGCGTCACGATCTTTTCTGATAATCAATCATTAGGCTAAACTGCTGACAAATCTTAATTGTTTGCCTACGTTATAATTTTTACCTTTATCTACCATTTCTTTTCACTAACACTCTCCCATCTCGAACTTCCCATTTTAGTCTGCATAAATAAACTCTGGTTGTTGGATTATCAAGAATCTTGTATTCATGTCCCCTGATTTATTAATATCGCCTTTGGGCTGAGACAATTCTTATATTTTGTTAGTAGTAGCCAGTTCTATTTTACAGTTGTTCAAACGACATCCTAAAAAATTAATATATCTTGATAAAGTTTTTGTTACATATTCTTTTTATCAAATTATTTGTGTTGAAACGCTTTAAAAACATGTCAAAAACTGCCTCAAGTATTGCTTCACTAAGATAAGAGAATATTGAAATGAAAACTACGAAAATATCATTTTAGGATATTATTCACATTGGATACATAAGGTGATATTCAATACACACTAATTATCATTGAAATTCATTTACGTTTATTAGTATTTTAGTATAAACTCATGTGCCAAATTATGGCGCTTATATTGACGATTCTCTCAGGTTGAAAATAAATATATGAGTTTGAGAATCAGTGGTTAGATGGTGTTGACTGTTTCATTCGAAGTCAGATATTCGTTGTTGTTACATAGCTAGACGACATAATAGTACAGTTCACTGTAATATTGGATGAATCTTTATCTAATATCGTCCATTTAACAGAAATTATTTTGGGAAATGTATTAATACTACTAAGTAGTTTGAAAGAGTTTATAAATGCACAAACATCATAACATTGGTCAGCCAGTTAAAAAGTACAAAATCAGCAATCAAAAATTGGGACATTCAGATGATGAGTATTAAAAGTGAAACAGATCTTAGGTTTTCGCACATATTTTATTCGAGCTATGAAGCAAGTGATCACTGAGAAAAAGGCACACAAACATTGCATTTTTAGAAGTGTGTGAATGCCAATAAACAGTTTCGGTATTCTTCTCTCTTATTTATTGCTGAAACCATTCTGTGGGAAATGACTTTTAAGTCAAATCATGTTTAACTGGAGCTATTCTTAAAAAAATTGTGAATTTCAGTTACATGTACAGACTGACCAGAGAAATGCTGGAAAGTGTGGGTCTGGCCTCTTTAAAGAATTACTTTGAAAATAATATTTCTCTGAACTAATCTTGTGTCTAATAATTAACTGACTAGGCCTATTGTGTGTATTTCTGTGGTATAAGAGACGAATGTAGAAGTTTCTCTCCGGCTAGCTTATACACTGCTTAGTCATATTTAGCAAAATCCAGATAAACTTGTACATAGATTCGCGTGATCGATAAATAGAGTCACGTTTACTCTATTTTTAAGACACACACATTAACACTATTCCTTTTATAATAATTTCCATGCTGAAATAATTTTTTACTGCATCGTTCAAGTGAAACTGTGCTATCCTTCAATTCTTACAAGCAGACAGTCACTGTCCTATTTTGCAAAAATACTTCATACACGATATATATATATATATATGTATATATATACAAGTCCGTTCTTGCAGAGAATACTTAGGCTGATAATTAATTTTGATAACCTAATGTTTTGAAGCCACACAGGTGTGATACTTACTTTGTGCAGTATTACTGACTTTGCAGCAACTCAAATATTTTAAAAATCTGGAAAAAGTAGACTGCTGCGTTAACATCAGATTATTTGGAAAAGGATATCTTACCAAGGTTTAACCAACAGATTAAAATAAGGGGATTTCATAAACCATTCTTCACTCGTCACATACTGACATACGTTTTACTATCGTTAGAATTCATCAGTAAGGTATTTGTGGACTCTCAGGAAGAATTCAAAATTTTAGACCTAATTATTCAACCCCAAATTTCTGTATTTTATGTCTAAGCTATTAAGGTGACAACTGATATCAAGTAGGACTGGATGATTTATAGGCATCGGCTGCCTCATTTTAACCACTGCACCTGTTCAATTTTCATATTCTATGTCTGATGCTCAGCTGTGACTGTAGACTACATCAAGTTAGTTGATTTTAGTTATTACTTAGAACTACACAAGCAGGGAATATTTCTTAGAATATCATTTACTGAATCAACTACAAACCATGTATTCAAAAATAAGTTGTGCATCAGCTTACAGTCTCATGTGGGTATCTAGGTAGACGCACCAAAAAGTATGTGTAAATCCATGCATTGTTGAAAGAACGAAATACTGTTTTAACAATAAACACATTCATTATACCTTATCATTCATTAGTTCCACACCTTTATTTTTTATTCCTTAATGATTAGCCAGCATTTTTATGAAGTATTTAAATGAAACTTACCTGTTTTCTTATTTCTTATATCGAAAAGCATAGTAAAATCATGATGTCATGTTTTTCAGTAATTAATTATTGTTTGAATATATTAATACAAGAATTTAGTTGTAAAGAATAAATTTTCCTTGTTATATGTAAATCAGAAACAGAGCATGAATTCATGTACAAACTAGTTTGTTACATGTGTGCTGAAGAATTGATTTGAGTATTTCAATGGAAGTCATTGATAAATAATAACTTACAACGTGTTATTGTAGTTTTATTCACTTGTCAGCAAAGTTTACAACTACATAATCAGTGATTTTTGGTATAGATTTACATGCTATTTAGCGTTTTTGCTTATCTTTTCTTAATATCATTATTATTATTAATATCAAACTGATAAGCTTCAACATATCACTAGAATGTGAAGATAATTTCTTTTCCATAATTAACTCACCATTTTGGTTTGATCTGTTCTTTATGCCAAATAAGAATGTACAGTCTGGCCTTGAAAAAGTCAATAATTAATACCTTATCTTCTGATAACTTGAAGTAAACCTTGAAAACTTCTCCTTGGTCTGATAACTCATAAGTTGACATACAACCAAAATAACAATAAACGTGTGATGATTTTGTAAAAAGATTTATTAGATTTCTATTGACAGCAGAGTTTCGAGTACAACAGATACTAACACTATCTGATACAGCCTAAAAAAGACACACCATAAAAGACGAAGCAGAAGTGTTCTTAGTTTCACGACTAATATTTTAACTTGTAACCAGTTAACTAAAATTCGGAACATCATTCTTCTTTCAATCTTTCGGTAGGTGCTTTGTAAGTGCTACTCGTCTAACTTAGTAGACATTAGTCAAGTTAGATTAGCAAATGAGGCGAACAGTGGGAGCCAGGGAGTTCTGGGCAGCCATTTTGTTCCAGTCTTCAGCGGTATGGATCCATGACGGTGGTAGTGTAATATACTGCGGACTGGCTTGAGTTAGAATGCATGGGATAGCCACTGAGTTCTGTTCCAGTGACTGAGTGGTCGGCAGACTCTTCTTGTAACTTGAAGGTCTTGGTTTCTGTCACTGATGGGATTATGAGGGCGTACTAATAAAGATTTCCAAACTATAACGAAACAGCTATTCAGTACTGCTTGGTTTTTAGTAGCTGTTTAATTAGTGTCAGTACGGGATCTAACTTGAAATCATTCATTTTTGTATAAATTAACACCTGAAGGTGTTTGTGTGTCATAAATGTGTGCATAACACTTGAGGATTTATCGCAGAAGAATAATCTTTCTGTAGGCAAACTATTTGGATCTTTTGAAATAAGGCCTGAATATTTTTAGTTTAATGTTTTATGAAGTTTCAGGGCAAATAGCAACATAACACTCTGAGAAACATTATAATGGCAGATTTGAAGCAAACACTGTTTCTTTTCCCCCATATTCACCTCGTTGGTAGACTAAAGTTGTTCAAATCTATGTGACAGCAAAAATCATCTTACCTGTCTGTATACCGACCATTGTGAACTGCTTGAATGTGTCAGTATCATGTTTACAGTGCAGGAGATATCTAAAAATCCGATAGTGGCACCTTTTTATGTTCTGTTGTAAACTAAGGACTGGGGTGGGATGAAATGAATTCAGTCAACACGCATTTCGTGTTTGGTTTAGTTTTACAGACAAAAAGATGTCATGTATATGTCTTTGACCTAATTCTGTATGTTGAATCGTTTCGAAATGGCACCGTTCAGTATTTATTTATGACTCTCACTCAATAATATAACATCATAACGGCCTCATGCACAGTGTTTAGCCCTGAGACTTAAAATATTCATATATTCATCTAACCGACTTCATATTCGTGTATCAGATAAATCATAACTTTTTATTATTTTTGCATGTAGGATTTCATCATGAGCTGACATCAGTTAGAGAACCACTGGAAAACCAGCTGGGAGTACTGGACAGCTGTTTTGTCCTAGTTTGGGACTCTTCATCAGTACGCGCCCACCGGGATTCGAACCCAGGACCTTCTGGTTACGAGGCGAACTGGTAGACCGTTGAGCCACATGAGCTACATGCAATCAAACCAAATCCCTACAAAACCAATACTTGCAAATTTTTATTATTTTGTCAGAATACAAGATAGTTAAGTTGATATAATTTCTGCTGTTTCCACCAATCAACTAATGGTTGACTGATTGTGAGTACGATGACTAGAAAGAAATCATCACCGGAATCTGAAGTAGAGCAAATAAATTATAGAAGGGTTTTTTTTCGTTTACAGATGTATGGATAAATTACCATTGTAATACAGTAAACTTTCGTCTTATGCTTATCCAATGATACTTACACATTACTCGATACATTTACTATCCAAGAAATATTAGGTTAAAATTAGTCATATTAACTTAAATGGAAATAACTGAAACAAGAAAGGATTTGGTCGAAGTTTATCTCTGAAGGACTTAATGAAACAGATTATACTCAATAGGTTTGTTTATTTTTTGTTAAAGAAAGTGACACTGTAAATGCCTTTTGTGTATGTGTTTACATGTACTAATAGTTACGATTGTTGGTAGCAAGAACGGATTGTATTTTGAAGAAAAAAAGATGATGGGAAGTCAGACCTATGCAGGAAGGTGTCAATATATCAACATAAAAATACGTATAATCTTTTAACAGATCATTCTGTGAGATATAATTATTTATCAAATATTGGTTTTCAGTGATTCAATTGGTTACAAGATTGATCACTAGCTGACATGATTTAGGGAACCATTGGTAAACCTTATTATTATTTGTTGACTACTTGATATTAGTTATAATTGAATTGTAATTTTATGAGGGATGCAGACATTTATGAAATATATTTCTGTTTTCGACTAAATTTCGTCTCCAAGAGTTTGTAACGTATTTAAAAAAGGCTGGTAGAAAAATAGCGTTTAACTTAATGTTGAAATTTTCTCCTTATTGTCACAGACTGTATTTCATTACATAATTGTGTTCTGTGTTAAATCTTGTCTTTTTTCCCAAAGGATGCTATTTCATTAACAGAACAAAGATATTTACTTATCCTTATTCTCAAAAATTTATGTTTTGCATAGGGTAGCGATATAACCTTCTATCAATGTATCATAATGTCCAGAGAATAATGCTTCATTTGTATAATCACAGAGTTGATTTTCTTCGACTGTTTTGCATATCATTCGCCAAATTTGTTGATTAGACTGAATTGTACTGATGGTTGGTTGAAACTTAGGCAGTACAGATGATAATGCTCTGATTAACGAAAAAAAATAAATGAAAAGAAGGAGGTGAATGTAGGTAAACAAAATATAACGAATCTCATTAATACTAATAGTCTTGGAAAGCTGATTATTCGATTTTTTCGAGACCCTCTAATATATCCGTTTAAAGTATTTATATGTGGTTAGAACGGCTGACAGCTTTGTTTCAACGTGTCACCAATTCACTGTTGTGTGTATCAGGACATGTGACATACGACGATTACTTTGTATATAAATAACAGTCACGGGAAATGAAACGCATGATCACAAACATTTTTCCGACTGGGAAGATCAGGTAAATTCAGTTTAACCAAAATATTCACTGAAATAAAATTCATTACGGTGACATATTTTTGGGATGTTTAAGAAATAAGAACTTGCTCGGCGCTTCAATAGAACTTTCAGGAACGCAAATATATAGTCAACTTAAATCTACTGAATTATTTATAAAATAAATTGTCATCAAAGAGTCTGTAGATGCAGATAAATCCATAAGGTCACAATCCAACATCACCAATATTCGACTTAGTGTGTTGAATTTTTTTTTATCAATGGATTATTCAAGTTAAGGTACTTGGTCTTTACCTTCACCACTTGGCATACAGTTGTGTTAAGTTCAGTTATTTGTACATGATCCCTAATTAACCAAGCAACATGTACCAGAAGAGTATATCGCATTTTGTTGTTCTTGCTTTGTTTTACTAACTGGTTTAATGGTATACGAGCTCGTCTTGTAACCAGAAGGTCCTAGATTCGAACATCAGTGGGTGCGTACTTCTGAAGAGTCCCGAACTAGGACGAAGCAGTACCTCCGGGTTTGTCAATGGTCCTCTAACCGATGTCAGTTCATGATGAAATCCTGAAACCACTCAAATCCCTGCAAACCAACACTTGAAAAACTATTCATTCCGACATCTTTAAAAAACAAAATAATTGAGCAAAGTATATCCTTTTCGATAATTTCCTCTTCTGGCTCTACATTTATATATATATATATGTTTATGTACATTAAATATTCTAGAATAGTAGACGATAACAATATTTGCGTTTTTAAATAATATCGATTTGTAAAGTAAGATCAATGGAATTACGGTTCATTGAAGATGCTTAAATTATAATAATAATACAATAGCAAATAGAATATCAACTAAAATTGAGGAAATTCCTACAAAAAATTGAGAATCGTTCGAACCTAGATGAACAAGGTAAGGACAATGTCTGAACTAATTTCTTTTGGACACATAAATTAGGCTTCTTAATGTGGATCCCAACGGCCTCAGCAATATTTAGTAAACGAACTCTTAAGGCGAAGTTAAGATTTGTTGATATGCGGTAAATGACTTTGGAAGCCTCATTGATATCACTCTTGTGTTCTGTATCCACAAGATGAGACAGAATAGAGCCACGAATATATTTCGTTTGTCCTTTACTCAACCACGCAGGGTGATGTTCGAAAATCCGATGAGAAACACGCCTAATTGTGCGGCCTATATAACTGGCTCCAAAGGAGTAGTTAAATTGGTAGATACACATGGAAGAGGAGAAATTGGGCAGTTTATCTTTTACTTCCGAACGAAAAATTTGTGGGGTTTTGAAGATACAGCGTAATTCAGCAGCAAGGAATGCTTTTTTATACCTCATTTCTAAGGCGTTGTGTTAGTATCTCGCTGATGTTGTCTGATGTTTTTAGTTTGCATTAAGTTCAGTTAATCTGATTGATATCATTTATATACTAAAATTATTATCACACCATTCTCCAGTTCAAGAAATTATTTTTGCTTCATCAAGATTTATTACTAGTAACAATTTATATGTCGTCTGCAATTAAACTTTGCTCAGTTTGAAGATAGAAACGAAACTTGTCACTGAAGATTTCCCAATCACTGTGCGTAAATTTGAAAAATGTTATCACAGTCATTGATGATAGTGGACTAGGTTACACAGTTTGCCAGTCAGTCAAATTTTTAGTCACATAGTTTCTGAGAGTATATTCAGTTATCAAGGAAAACAAAAGTCACTTAAGGATGTCAAAATATGGGTTATGAGAGAATGGGCAAACCGATTACTATTAGTGAACTTGAAAAAGCTCAGTTTTCTGTAAAGGTTTTAGTGCAGAGAATAATTTAACATTATCAGATGACTTTATTGAATAACGTCGAAGAAACCATTATAATGAAAATATCTTCAGTGCCTTTTATTTCTATACCTCCTGGACTTTAAACACCATTTAATTTGAGGAAGGGAAATGGTTTTCGTGCTCTACAATCTTTAGAATGAAGTATAGTTTCAAAATGCATTTATGAACAGCTCTAATGTTTTGTGGATTAACTTCCACACATTCCTCCAGTTGTCACGCTACTGCATCATCAATTAAACACTGTTCCAGTTGTGTTTTAGCACCGACACTCACTAGGATATAGGAACGATTTTATGACGGATCTCAAGTTGGACAAAATGAGTTTTCAGGATTCCACTGTTAGGACTATTTACTAAATGACGCCGAAATGGGATCACAGGCATTTTGAGACTTTCATTCTAGCAGACCATATTGTAAAACAGACTCATTGCATGTATCTAGTGAAACAAGAGAAGTTACTCCTGTTACTGTTGTTATCACGAAACAAATTCTCATATTTTCCATTCATGAGATTAGGAAATCTTAGGATTAAAGCAAATACGAGTTTTGAATGGAAGCTTTATCAAATAAGCGAAACACTTGTTGTAAACTCGGTTGGAATAGTGAATTAAATTAACTGTGATATTCACTAAAACTGAGAACACTGCCCCAGTAGCACCAAAGTTTGCACCAACCACTATAATATGAAGACTATTCCAAATAACTAACAAGGTGCATAATGTAAAGCAATTATCTATTCTAATTCTCATACAATTGGTAACCTTGATACATTTTCGATGAAGAAAGAAAGGCCAGAATTGCAATATAAAATTATGTCATTCTATTTTACAGGTTCTCATCAGCGGAAAACTACCTGAAATCACAGTGGTTATAAAAATGTCGATAACATACTTCAATGTTTGAATGGCAGGAGACGAAAAATCCAAAACATAGGTATCACGACTTTTGGTTTAAGTTACCACTAATTTATATACTTTGAAAATAGAAAATGGAGGGGGGGGGGTCAGGAGAAGACAGAAAACGGGAAAATGTAATTAACGAACAGTGTCAGCGTGTAAGTTTGTATAGCATCTCAAGTAGGTCATAGAGATTGACAAGAGAATAAAAGGAGAGATAAAAAGATGTTTCCTGCAGCTAAATTTGGAATGCTATGTAGCACTGCATGCTCTATAAGCTAGTTCAAATTAGAAACGTACCCTGCTGGTATCACCTCCAACTTGCTAGAGTAAGTACATTGGAAGGACAGAAACAACAGCTCCTATCCCGTTTTCAGAGCATATCCCGAGAAAACGATGCTTAAATGAAGCTGATATTTGCAAAGTGCAATCACCAGACACCCTGTGGATATAGATCATTTCGTTGAGATTTTCGAATCCTTCAAAATACTAAACACACAGAGGACAGCAAATTTACTAAGATTTGTTGAAGCAATTGCAATCAGGTGTCCCAAAAGAAAGTGATGTATACAGAAAGAGAGCGCAATCAATCTCGCACTCCCTTGATAACTGCATTTTGATTACACTGATTAGTCATCCATGTTAGTGATTTAAGCTTACTGAGCAAATTTTCAATCTTATGGGCTATAACCTTCTTGAGATGCTATATAAACTTACACGCTGACACTGTTCGTTAATTACATTTTCCCGTTTTCTGTCTTCTCCTGACCCCCCCCCCTCCATTTTCTATTTTCAAAGTATATAAATTAGTGGTAACTTAAACCAAAAGTCGTGATACCTATGTTTTGGATTTTTCGTCTCCTGCCATTCAAACATTGAAGTATGTTATCGACATTTTTATAACCACTGTGATTTCAGGTAGTTTTCCGCTGATGAGAACCTGTAAAATAGAATGACATAATTTTATACTGCAAATCTCATCCTTATCTCTTTGTCGAAATATTCTAATTCTAATGAAGTTACTTTTTGATGGGGTTAAAATGGGATATACTATTACAATCATATTAGTAAAGTTAGTAATATTTAAAGCCATAGAAGAAAACTTACTTGAAACAGGGTAGTACTATAGAATCAAGAAAGTATACCTGTAATTCTGGTATAAAGGCTTTATTTCTATCCAGTGAAGGTTGAGGAGTCAAATTCCACGATTTTTCTAAGTCACCTTGAATGAAAAACTCGTGATAAATCAGTTTTGCAGCTTCACGTGTATTATACCAGTCTTTACACTGATCATTTAAATCACATGCGGTAACTAGAAGGGACAGAAGCAGTTCACGATGTTTCACATTGGATGGATTGTACATTTTTCCAGTCACCTGTATAATTTCTGGCATTAATGAAATATGCTGACATAGATCAGTAGCCAAAATGATTTGCTTGAGTAAATATTTGAGTCGTTCATATTGCTGAATTATAGTGGAGAAAAAGTAAGATGAACCAAAAAGAAGACATGAGAATTTTGAAGCATTCTGTATTTTGATACAGGTTGAATAGACAGTTGGAAGAAACAATTATACTAATTCACATAAGAAAATATCACAATATCTGAAAAAATAAAAATAAATCTATTGAAGGCAACAGTCTCGTCTTTGGCAAAATGGAGAAGCACCTACTATAATATATAATTATGTAATTCATTGAATGTCACGTTAAACTATCTTTTTTTTATTTAAAGCAATTAGTTCCCTCTAAGAATTTCGACAACACAATAAGAAGACGTAGTTTATCTGAAACGTGTAGTGTATTGGCGCAACACATTTCGGACATTCTGATCACACACGTACTTGTCATACAGTTTTTATATAATGCAAGAAGGCATGAATAATTACAATACAGGTCTGATTGTATACAGGTCAAGGTCACAAATAATGGGTAGGGAGACACAAAAGGTGTGGGTAAGAAAGATAAAAGGAGAAAAAACAAGGCAAAGAAGGGGTTGAAAATATTAGGAAGTAAATTAGTCCTTGGTTCTAAATTGAATTACCAAGGCAGGTTTAAGGTGATAACAAATAATTTTTGGACACATAAGACAGGTTTAAGTCTTTTTATGGCTAAGGCTTCAATGAATTTAAGTATGTGGCCCAACCTCGTTTTATATATCAGCTTAAAGGCACTGTTGAAATCAACCTTATGACCCGTCTCTATAATATGCTTGGCTATAGATGATGTTGGACATCTATTTCCGGGTTCAATTGTGTCTGGTGATTTCATTTGTTGATGCAGCCACTTTGGAATGTGTTCTGTAGCCCATCTGTAGGACCTATCGGTCTCTGCAGGTTAGGCATACAGTAGAAAATGGGGGACGTTTTTTCAATACTTGCTTGGTGGTCACATTTGGTCTGGTGTGTCAGAATCCAGCCAATCATCCCTTTGATTAGATTTTCATTTCTTCACACTAGCAAGTGATCCCGAGTACGAAAACCTAAATTCCTAGTGCGACGGAAGACATAACACCTGTGAAATATACCACCGAATTTACTAAATTAGGAGCAGAGGAGAAGCAATACCCAGCAGATTAAATAAGTGGACAGCAGCTAGAGATTTCTCTCCAGATCTTAAAAGGAACGTCTTCAGCTGTGATTGTATTGAATTAGACATAGTACAACGCCAGCTGCCTTCCCTGTGTCTAGGAATATGAGTTCGTCTCAAACACGTCAGTCTCATAGTTGAAAAAACCAATCTAGTCAAATAAACCGCCTAATTCTATCAATCAGCTTTGAACTAGAAGGTTTCAAAACCAGTTTAGTTAATTGCTGTCATTAATATAAAAACAAATTAAACTGGGAAAGTCTCCTCACAAAAGAACACAGAGAGACTAAAAAACGAGGGGAGTGAAGGAAAAAATGCTGGTGATTCCAAAATGAGACAAAGGGACAGTAGTCCTGCTGGAAGTAAGTGTTTTTGTGAAAAAAAGATCAATGTTGCACTAAGTATTAAACAGAGATTTCAGAAACTGATAGGATAGATAGGAAATAGTTAAATCATGAAATATGGTAAAGTAATCAGAAGTGCCGAGAAACTAAGAAAAAAAATAAATGGGTCTCAGTATTTTATACGAGTTGCTGAAATCCATGGGCACATGCACACCGAAACTATGTGTTTGACCTAAAACTGGAGTACTGTTGCAACCACTTTTAGAGATTTGAATTTCGCCTTACCATACACTGGGTAAGGGATTAACGATTATTCTTAAACTTTAAGTGGTAGAGTAGTGAAATACATTGTGAATACAATGTTTGAACTCGCAAGAAAAAATAAGGATATTAACACCAGGTATAAAACTATGGTCTCCTCGAACATTATGCTACTCTTCACAGATATTCTGCTAATTGAAACAAGCAAAGACATTCATGAACAATATGTGACAAACCAATAAACGTAAAAAAAGTCTTCGGGTAATTTTTACTTAAGCTTATAGTAAACGAGGATTTTGGAAGCAGAGGTAAACTCTCCAAACAGCTGGGTATGGTGAATGTTGGCTTTTCATACTGGTGAATTTCTTCCTCAATGAATTGGAAACCGGTTCACCTGATGACTTTATTAAACGACACATTCTACTGTCATTATATAGGTGATGCGTTCAATCTGGTGAAGTCAGCTTTGAAAGGCTTGCCATAATTTCTCATTCCAGTGAAGTTATTCGGACCATAGTAATTAATCGTGATGAAGAATTCTAAAGTAGGGCTGATCAGGCATGTGTTCGTCTTACAAGATCAGGTGGCCATATAGGGAATTTGTATAAAGAGAGTATCTGAAGTAGATGGAATAGAAGTTTCCACAACTTTAGCACAAAAAGTTTAGTAAAGAGACTTTGCTAAGGTAAGTTGGAATGAGCTAGAAACTATATATAATACGCTAACTTTAAAAAAAAATACTAACTTTGTAGTGTCAATAAGAAGTACATTGTTACAAATATGGGAAGGAATTTTGTCACATCGATGAACAAGCAGCCTTTCTACATTCAAGCACAAAACTGATTAATAATCAATACTTTAGGGAACTTTTATGATCATGAAATTGAAACTTAGTTTTCCATATAGCCTAATATGATGTGACCATGAAGAATGGAATATTCACACAGAAACAACGAAAAACTCTTTCAGCTAGTTTGCAGTTACTCAATATTCGAATGCCAAGTTCTTACAAAATAAACTGTGCCTGTAAACTTTTAAACGGAGGTGTGATAATGCATTCTCTTACAAAAGCACTCAAAACGAAATTCTAAAGACTGAAACATATTTACTTTACGTTAACATCATTATGTTGGAAACCTGGTTCAGCCTTTTAAATGTCACTAATTCGTTTACTGAAAGGAAAAGACAGAGTGCATTCGTAAAATGGAATATCTTTTTGTTTCCACTTCACTACTTCTGTTAACGTCATTGTCAATATGATAATTAATGAGGTACTAATGGCCTTTAGTGACTTTTTTAACTGAAGCCAATGTGGATAGAAAGCACAATACTTATCCTTTTCGAAAAAACCTACAAGTAGCTATTCATTTAACATTGTGATTAATGAGGCATCCGTGATCATCTGGTACTGATACTAGTAGAAAAAGAGCTTTACAAAAATTATACTGGACATTTAAAATTGTAACAGTCATAGTTTATCAAAGCAATACCCATACTCCGCTTTCAAAAGAAACTTTTAGTCTTTTCTCTACTAATCATCTGCATTTCCTCCTTATATTTATGGTGTAATATTTTACATCGTTTCAACTATATGCGGAACTGACGAGGATATAAAAGCGAGGATCGGGAAAGCGAGGCAAGCTTTCATTACTCTCAAGTCTTAGTGGAGATCAACAGAGCTCAGCATGAAAAATAAGACCCGGATTTTCAACTGCAATGTGAAGTCAGTGCTACTATACGAATCTGAGACTTGGCGCGTCATGAAGAGCACTTCGAACAAACTATAGACCTTCATCAACAGCTGTCTTCTCTCTGGGAACGAGCCAATCCAACAGAAACCAATTGTACAACAAATATGCAGGACGAAGTGGAGGTAGATTGGTCATACTCTTAGGAAACCATCAAGTGACATCACACGCCAGGCCATTGCTCGAGTGGAACCCGAATGGGAAGTGGCGAGTTGGTCGTCCGAGGGTGATATGGAGGAGGTCGTGTGAAGAGGAGATGAAACCATGTGGGCAGACGTGGAGCCATGTGAAAACGTTGGTAGAGGACCGAACGCAATGGAGACGTGCAGCTGAAATCCAATGTTCCTCTGGAAACTAAAGGAAACAATAATAAATAATAATTTCACATCCTACGTCTATTTAGTTTCAACTATTTTTATGTTAACTGCTAACCCCAGCTGAGAAAAAGAACAGAGATGGTGATGAAAACTGTCTTTGCTATGATTTCACTTTCACAAATATACAGTCACAATTATATATGATGCGGAAGATTTGTAGCCCACGTGGATGATATTGGTATACTTGTGTTATCTGAGAAAGATGGTTTAGTCGCAAGGCTTTAAATGTTCTTCTTGACCAGATATTCGGCGCGGAATTCAATACAAATTTTCCACAAGTTTCTCCACAACCTTATTACTACGTCAATGAAAAGAAGAAACCAATATCACCTACAAGATAAATTGTGACAACTGTGAAATATATAATATTGGTGGGTGTTGACGTCTTCTTTTTCTTCTAATTCGCAGGCATAAACTGGCTTTCAGAAGCCATGGAATACGTTCCCTCATTTCAATGCATGCGAACGACCACAGACACTAATTCGATTGGCGAAACCTATAAATTCTAGACGAAGGGGACCCAGGAAATGCAAGTTGATTTCTAGAAGCCTGGTACTCAGAATTTTCAATAAATTGACATAGAAAAATTTATCAATCAACGAAAAGGAAATCACACGGAAAAATGGTAAACTTTCAGGTCAACCAAGTAATCAGTAGCAATGCAAGAGAACTAGATAGTGAGAAAATCTCTGCAAACAACCATTTAAGTTCAGGGTTACCAGGAGAGATAATAAGTAAACTCGTGGAGAACCCTTTGAGTTCACTTCATATTGAAGTCTATATTGTAGAAATTGTCCAGAAAGATAATGAAGGTTGGATGTTAGGACAAATACTCGCCAATGTCATTGTCTAGCGATCGCGCTATATCGTGAATTGGCAGAATTTGGAATTCATGGGTCACTGGATTGGGTCCCAGCGGCTTAATGGTCTACGTGCTCACTTTGTAACCAGGAGATCCTGGGTTCTAAACCCGGTGGGTGCGTACTGGTGAAGAGTTCCAAACTGGGGCGAAACAGCTGTCCAGTATTCCTTAGTTTTCCAGTGGTTCTCTAAATGGTGTCAGCTCTTGATGAAATCCTATGACCAATCAATCAAATCCCTGCAAACCAACACTTGAACAGCATAATGAAGGCTTCACAAAGAAACCGTTTAGCTTACCACAACTCAATGAGAAAAATACTGAGGACTGAATGTGGAATTAAAATAATGCACGTAAACCAGCAAAGTAGTGAATACGGCATTTTATTTATTGAAGGATTATTTATATTTGTAATTGAAAAACCATGGATATGTGAATGTATTAAATCATTTATAGTCAGTGCATTATGATGTGCTGACAGGGCATAGTAAAATGAAATAGGTGGTAGCTAAATGTTTATGATCTCATGCTTTTATTATCTAATCTCTGGCGACAAGAAGTAAAATTTGTTTGTTCTTTTCAATGCTTCTTCTACGTAAAGTGAATATGTAATCACACGCTATTTCGGCAGGTTTAAAATGACTTTGTAAATAATACTGAAGATTCATTAATGCATTCTTGATCATAGTATTACTGACACAGATATTGACAGCGATATAAAATGAAAAAATTAAAATATTTTCATTGAACGCGGTATCTAAAACGGAATTTATTTTGAAATGTCAGAGGCATATTTATAATAAGCTTGAAGTTAGAGCACAATAATGTGGGATATTTTTGATAAAAGACTTAAAAAATGAAAAAGAGTTAATTGATAGTATTCAATTAGTTGACAATTCTCGATGCATTGGGTTATGAGTGAGGGTGAAATGAAATTTCGGATAACAGTAAGATTCAAAGTAGCACGTACTGATTTTATTCATAAAATGATTTACTGAGTATTTTTAACTAATTGTTTGTCAAATACAGTTCACATTAAACCGGTTAATGAATTAAGTTTGTACTCAACGTTTTCTCCACTAACAGATGTACTTGTATTTGAGAGGCATTATCAACAATTACAGATATAATCAGAATCCTGAATTGTTGCAAACTTCTTTCGTGACAGTTTAAGTAACCAAAAGTAATCATCCCTGTAGTGAAACACGATCCTCTGGTAAAACTTCTGTTACCTGAAAATTTATGACACAGTATGGTGATTGCATTTAAAGCTTCAGATACCACTGTTGAATCCATCTAAGGACAAAACTTCTCAGTCGACTAATAATTTTTTTCGAATACTTATTTTTTTCAAATTAGGATTGTTATGATACCTAATGAATAAAATTCGTATGCCAATGGATTTAAAAACAGACTCGGTAAAATTTATTAGGCAGCTAACCTGTTTTGTCATTTGACTGAAAATATTACAACCCTTAAGACTCAATATCCTCATTGTCTGATCAATATGGTGTTGTTCAAGAATTGATCCTCTATGACCATAAAGAGCAGCCAACGGTGATTTGGTGAATACCTGTTAATACAATATATGAGTGAAAGGAGACAAAATCTGGTGTAGAAACTGTGTAGTTTAAGTAGGAAAAAATAAAATATTTTGTCAATGAATTCTCATATCTCGTTAAAATAAAATCAATTATTTGTTGAAAATCAAGCAACAATAGGCAGTTTTTTCTTCTTAGATTGGAGCTCTTCAACAGTGCAAATCCATTACTCTACAAAGCAATGATCTCATGATAAACATCCTTAATTTTCAAAGAGAAGTAATGTCCGGTGGCGCCCAACATAGTGAATGAAAACGAAGTTACTACCGGTAGCACTGGTCAGTGTCGACACCATATCAGGAATTGACAGAATTTAGAATCTATGAAAAACTGGATTCCAAACCAGTGACTTAATTTCATTGGTCTGGATATTAGTTTTTAAAAGAAGTTAGGATTTAAGCTATTAGATAGAAAATCACGTTAAAAACAGTACCATTGCCACTGGCATCACTAAAATATTCGAAGAATGTGAAGGTTGAATTACGTTCAGGAGTTAAAAAGCCCTTGCCCATAAAATTTTAAGTACTGAGTCTTTCTGCCTACATCACGGTCAGTTTATTGTCAGTTGGATTCATAAATAAGTTATGCGTATGCCATTTGCAGACGGTAGGTGTATCACCTAGTTAACTAGCTCACTAGTTTTCAAGCCGATTCCAAGCCCGAATAGAAACGGATTGTTGGACGTGGGCCTAACAACCCCACACCACTAAATCTTTCAAACCACTACAAAAACTTCAACACACAGACAATATATAAAAATACAAAAACTTCAAATAAAAATCTTATTCTTCACTCGAATCGGAGATTAGAAATAATGCGAGCTGGTGAAAGCCGTCAAAAAGCCAGTCAGCCGATGTGTCTCGATGAAAGCAAGAATAAGAATGGGGACGTGGAATGTCCGTACAGTGTACGAGACTGGGAATACTGCCCAATTAGCCAACGAAATGCGAAGATATGGCATAGAAGAGCTAGGTACCTGCGAAAGAAGATGGAAAGGATGGTTATCGTGGCAGCCAAAGCCCTAAGGCAGTAGAAAGCAATATCTTTCAGGATCATGACAGCAAGATTCAACTCAAAAGGAAGGAAGGAAGGTTACAATTATTCAATAATATCCATGCTGCTTCAAACAACGCGAAACAAGAAAAGAAGGTTATTTATACCGACAACTACAAACAGTAATGAACAACATCCCAAATGGTGACATCAAAATCCTCATAGGCTGTATGAACACAATCCAAACCAGGAGCAGATAATACAGGAAGAGAACTCATAATGAGTCAAGGCGCTCTCGGAGAAATAAATGAGAACGGAAAATTATTCGCAGACTTCTACTCTTTCAACAATTTGGTGAGCGTGGAGGGAGGGAGCGTGTACAAACACAAGGATATACACAAAGCAACATGGATTTCCCCTGACGGACAAACCACAAACCAAACAGATTTCATATCAATCTCAAGGAAGTGGAGACTCAGTCTGCTGGACACAAAGTCGAGAAGGGGAGCAGTTGTGGGCTAATACCATCATCTAGTTTAAGGTACCTTAAAGGTGAAGCTGAAATCCATGAAAACAAATGGAAACAGACCACAATTCAAGTTCAACATTAAGAAACTGAAGGAAAAAACCACAAAGGATGCCTTTGCTACAGATATGAGAGCAAAGTTGAAGACACTACGTAGCATCAATGAGGAAACCTGCCTGGAAGAACATTGAAACTCTCTGTAGTTGATGTCCAAGGAAACGTGTACAAATGTTCTAGTAAGAAAGAAGAGACAAGACAAGGAATGGCTGTCAACGGATACCTGAAAGCTAGTCGAGGAGAGGAGGATGGTGAAAGAGAAACTGACTCAATGCAAAGATGCACAACAGAAGGAGAGGCTGAGTTCAATGTACACTTCACTGAATAAAGCAGTGAAGAAGAGTGCTAGGAAAGACAAACAACACTTCTACGACACACTGTCAGCTGAAGCAGAACAGGCAGGGCGCAAGCAATAGAGACATCAGGACACTATATCAGACAACCAAGTCTCTATCCGGGGAGGGATCAACCCAGATGATGAAACCAATGAAAGATGCTCAAGGGAACCTGATCGCCAAGGAGAAGAAACAAATCAAACAATGGGCCGATCACCTTGAAGGACTCTTAAATCGACCATCACCTGCAAATCGTTCAGGAATACCAACAACAACACACACGGAAATACCTGTCAGTGGACACCACCCCTCCAATGAAAGAAGAAATCCTGAATGCGATCAAGCTACTGAAGTCCGTTCGAAAAGCCAGCAGGACCAGACGGCATTCCTCCCTAAGCACAGAAGACGGCCACAGCGGTTACGGCATATGCTCTCAATCCATTACTGCAAAACGTTTGAGAAAAAGGAAAGGTGCCTACTGATTGGAAGGGTCGCAGGCTACCTCGTCAAACTGCCAAAGACAGGTCACTTACGCTCACCTCTGCAAGAACTGGCGTGGAATCATGCTCTTGTCCACGCCAAGTAAGATACTAAATCTCATCATCCTGGAGAGAATAAAGGATGCACTGGGTACAGAATTCCGCCAACCGGAACAAGCTGGATTCAGAAAAGGCAAACTATGTGCCGATCAAATTGCAACTCTACGCATCGTCATCACAGAATAAAGCATAGGATGGCAGTCAAACCTCACTCCACCTCAACTTCATCGACTTAGAGGAGGCCTTCGACAGCGTTGACGGCACTACGGCATTCAGTGCCCAAATCTTTATCAACCTCATTCAGCGGCTGGCTATATAACGATGCCACGTGTCAAGTGGTGCACAGCGGACAAGTCACCGAAGCGTTCGAAGTGCATACAGGAGTAAGACAAGCTGGCTGCCTATTATCACCGATGATATTCTTAATTGTGGTGGACTGGATTATGAGTCAGACTGTTGAGGGCAAGGAGTAAGGAGTACGCTGGATCACCGATAAGAAGACTCCAGAAGATCTGGATTTCACGCGTGGATGATATATGTCTAATGTCACACAAACTCGAAGACTTGCAGGCGAAAACCAACAAACTGGCTGAAGAGGCTGTCAGCGAAGACAGGACTGCAGGTGAACATAGAGAAGACGGAGGTGATGACGATAACCAATGGACCACCACCACAACAACAACCAACACGAATCACCATCAACGGGAAAGATTTAACAGAGGTTGACTCCTTCATTTATCTAGGAAGCATCGTTTCAACTACAGGACTCAATACGAAAGAGTATTTCAGAGTCAGACAGAACCGGAAAGGCAAGATACGCCTTCATCAACCTGAAACCAGTTTGGAAATCTTCTGCACTCAGCCAGCATAAGGAACAAGGTTCGGATTTTCAACACCAATGTGAAGTCGGTTCTTCCATACGGGTCAGAAACTTGCACTGCGTGGGAGTCACGAAAAGGGTTTCCAACAGTTGGTGGCAGACTTTCATCAACAGCTGCCTTCGCTGGCTCCATACTGAGGATCAAATGGCCAGAAAGAATGAGCAACAAGAAACTCTGGAGATGAACAAACCAACCAAGAACCGATCGATCAACAAATATATAGGAGAAAGTGGAGATGGGTCGGTCATACATTGAGGAGGCCACCGAATGACATCACACGCCAGGCCCTCGAGTGGAATCCAAACGGAGAGCGACGAGTGGGTCGTCAGTGCGAGGGTGACATGGAGGAGATCGTGTGAGGAAGAGATGAGAGAGTTTGGTCAATAGTGGACCCAGCTGAAGAGGATTCTAGAAAACAGAACAAAGTGGAGATGTGTTGTTGAAGCCCTATGTTCCACTCGGAATGCAAGGGAATAATGAGTAATAAATAAATAAATAAGTGTATCGTTTTACGACATGCCATCATCATTTAACTTCAAACACTTCTTATGTGAAAAGTAGTAACCACCTAGATACTCACAGAGCTCCCAGTATCTCTGAAAGAGTCAAATGTTGATATGTATAGGTATGATATTTATTTATATAAGGAAAACAATTGGGTACTGTGGTACAGTATAACTCCATTATGGATAAGATTTTATTTTGATATATCACACAGTGTTGTACAGTAATATTTACTGATGACGTTTCGAGCACAAATTATTGCGCACGATGTGTTGAGAGCTTGCTGCGAACAAGACAAAATTGTAAACAAAAGTTTACGTCAGTGTTACGTCCGGAACCAGAGTCATGAGAAAGACGATAACAAAGCTTAACCTTGAGGAACTCACTAACCAATCACAGAAGACTTGATGTGAGCAAATGCGATTCCTAGATATATGGATTAACTTTCTAAGAAACGGTCACAAACAGCACAGAATAACCTTCAGCGTAAAAAACAACCAATTAGAAGTTGCTTCTCTGCTACCAATAACGCTAATAATAATGTACATAAAAATCTATAAATATCTCTTGATTTTCTCAATAAACAGTGTTGCCTGGCTCTTGTCTTCTGTCGTTACAATAATCATATCAAAGTCTTCACACAACTTTTTTGCTTCATTTATATACAGGAGTAAAAATCGATTAGACATTTGAATAAAATCAATATTAGATAAAGAACATTCAGAAATAATATTACTGTTATCAATAAAATCCAATAAGACGGGAAATAAGATGTTTTTTGTAGTAAAAATAAGTAACTTGCCAGAATATTAGAATGCGGTATGGGGGATATTATTACCAGTCAAATCGAAGGATAACAAACAGTGTTAAAATGTATTTAATTCACATTGTAACATTGCAACGAGTTATTTATTTTAAATATAAAACATCTTACTTCCCGTCTTATTGACTAACAGCACTTGTCTTATTTCCCATCCTATTGTATATTATTGATAACAGTAATATTGTTTCCGATTGTACTGTATCTTCTTTTCTGTTTCAGACAAGTCCTATATTGGATTTATTCAAATGTCTCATCAATTTCTACTCATGTATATAAACGAAGCAAAAAGTTGTATGAGTACTTCGATGTAATTATGAGCAGTAATAATTTGTGCTCGAAATGTCATCAGTAAACATTACTGTATAACACTGTGTGATTTTATCAAAATAAAATTCTAGCCAAAGTGGAATTTATTTGTCATGAATTATTTGATCATAAGCAGTGAAAATTACTTCACTTAGTAAAATGATTAGCTGTTGTTTTTCAAGAATACACTAATGAATAATCGAAGACGTGTACTCACCTGATAACTGTTATTAAATCCTCTATGGTCAATATCATGACATAATGCACCAACAAATAATGCCAACCGTTCAATTTCATCTAAATATTGATTTGTTAACTGTGAGTCAATTGTTAATGCTAGATACGCCATATGTCCAACTGTGAACGCATGCATCCAATTGTGGTAAGCTGGTGAACGATAATTTTTTTTAACAGTTAGAATAAAACATGCAAGAGTAGGTCGATGAATTTTCCATTCATCTATGAAACCAAGAGTATCAAACATTATCATTATGGCCTAAAGTAAAAAGGAATGGAGAAGTGAAATTGAACTCCAGCAAAATGCGTAAAACATTTAGAGATTTTAAAAGCGAATTAGACTAACAAGTTGTTTTGTGGTTTTAGTGATTTATTGATGGAATGCTTGTCATCTAAGTAGGATGTCAAGGTTCAAATCTTGGCTGATTTACTCCTTACTTCACTTAGTTTATTAGCTGGTAATAACCCCAGAAAGGGTTGAAGGACGGGTGTCTTACATCCGTTCTTCTGTGAGCCTGTAAAAGAGATACTACCGCTACTAGGACTTCAAGAGTGTTGCAATTCATCTAAAGTTTCACTTCCATGTTTTCATCTGTACATTTTCACATAAAAGGGTGGTAAACAAAGTGTAGTCAAATTATATTGGGAGTATATTGTGCCATATTTATCCAAATAAATGCGTATTCATTCTACTGGTACTTGCGTGTGGAATCAAGCTGTAATCAAAAATCAAAAAATCAAAAATCAGTCATTGGACAGAATCGATTAAGGAAAGTTAGTATATTGGCCTCCATGATGGACACCTAAATAGAGCCTTCACTTTTATTCCTGTGTTTTTTACTAGATATTAAATACAGTGTTTCTAATAAGATGGGAACTAAGTGCCGATCGCTTTGAACTCTTTGAGGATTTTTGCTTACCTTCTGACCTATAACAGGTGCCTTTTTTCGCAATGATTACCACGTATTTAGTCTTGGTATTTGTGATTTCGCATTATTGATTTTACTGGACTAAATTCGTCACTTTTAAACATTGTGAGATCCCAAAACGCGTTTCTGTATACTGTCTTGAGTGATATATTCATCCGATTATTTATTCGATTTCACTGCTATCAGGCTTATTTCACAGTGGCATTGACGGAGTGAAACTACATTATATTTTTCTAATCATATATATATATATTGTCGTATGAGGAAGAGATAAGAGAATTTGGGCAATCGTGGACTCAGCTGAAGAGGACGGCAGAAAATAGAACAAAGTGGAGATGTGTTGTTGAAGCCCTATGTTCCACTTGGAACCCAAAGGAACAATAATAATATATTGTAATAATTATAATAATATTGTAGACAGGAACAGTTTCCCCTTTGCGTCGGGAATCTAGGACTGATGTGTTTAAAGCATCTGTATTCTCAACTTCAAATTTATAAGCTGGTCGCAGTTTGAACATAGGAATTCAGCAGCACATATCGACTGCTGTCGGCGCTGTGCCACCGGACGGTCGGTCATCTTATCTCCAGTTTCGAAAGAAGGTAGACGTTGATGAAAGTCTGCAGCTGTTGTAAATGCTTTGCGTGATGCACCAAGTCACTAAATGGACATTAGTAGTACTAAACAGAATTCGCATATTGTTCCACGTGCTGATTTGTGTAGATATCCATACTGATTTCAGCGTAGTGAACTTGAATCCTGCTTTGCGAATCATGCTAGCTTTGTAACGCTGATCCTTGCTGCATGCTTTTGAAAAAGTGGTGATGGAGTATGTGAAAGAGACAAATTCTTTGGATTCCTCCTTGTGGTGGTCACTCATGCTAATTGTTGTTGGTTGGCTATCTTCATTACCTCTGTTTCCCCTATATTCGCCTGAGATCCTCTCTTCACTGCCTCTACAGTCTTTTTATGATGTGATTTTACCACTTTATAGAATTCTCAGTATACGAAATTTGTTAAAAAGGCACCATAATTTACAAAGGGAAACTGATTTGAAAATAACGTCTAATTAATTAGTTCAGAATTACAGTCAGCATTTAATTTTTTGAATATGTGCTTCTCTGGCATTTAGTTTTATTGAAAAGTGTATCTGCTTTCCACGTGGAACAAGGGCCTGACACTTCGAAGTTTCAGTAGCGGTGATGTTTTTAGTTTCGAAAGCAACCTTCCATCTTTTAGTGGCTTACCACTGTCTATTAAGCTTGCCACTTCAGAAGTGAATCATCCAGGATTCAATTCCGGACCTTCCACCGTGTTGGTGAGCATCCTACCACAGAACTACCTATGCACTAGGAAATATCCAAATTAGTAAAGTGAAGACATATAATCAGACTAGGTTTTTGCATGAACTTATAACCAGGAATGTGGAATATATTTGTGTTTATTCGCATTGTTATACAATACTTGCAGCAATAATGGAAAATAAACCTACTTCTGTAGAATCCTTTTCTCCAACACTTCTGATGCAAAAATTTAACTGGTTGTAATCTGGATGTAATTCCGTTAGAATTCGGGAATTTTTGTTAGCCAACTGTGAAATCTCATTTTCTGGTATCTGAAATGAAAATAGTTCACCATAAGAAGAAATTTACGACTACTAATAAGCGTACAAAAATAACACTTATTTGCTTAGAGTTAATGTGGTGATTGACAATTTCTATTACTGTATTGTTTAAATACTTACTGTTGTTTGTTAATATTTATTATATGAATCACAAATAATTCTGCCAAATACAAATTCCTAAGTTCATCCCTGTCTGTGGTGTTGGTTGATGTCCTGCAATTTGGTTATTGCGAAATCATACAACTACAAATAATTATAATAACTAAACATAAAACCGTACTGCAAACAGCTGGATTTCAACAACAAGTCTTGCACCTTTTGAAATACTATATGCGAAATTTCCGAATTATATTTTTGACCCCGGTAGACGTCTGGTACGCGTCAAAGCATAAACACTGCGAGGTGTTTCAGCTCTAATAATTCTAGGGTCACTGATAGTTATGAAACGCTGAAGAGTTTAATCCGTCACAGGAAAGTGAGGGAAGATGATGCAAAAGAAACGTGCACACCTGACATTGTCGTCTAAAATCACTAGCATCAAATTTTTGGCGAGCAGTGGCGAAAACATACTACGCCCCAACACTGTGTGTTAAATTCGCTACATGAAGTAGGAATTCAATGTAATTAAAAATAAACTACGTAGTCAACCCACTGTAATTTACATTTATAGAGATTATTGATCTTGTGGTGAGATACAAGTGGGCAGAACGACTTGACAAGTTCGCTGTCGCTTCTCGAATAATGTCCAGTTCGGTTAATACTAGGAATAGTAAATCAGTCTAAAGGCAGAGTATTTCACTCAGTCCTAAAGAGGGTTACCTGTGATTAAAATATCTTAGAAGTGCATTTGAGGAATTTGAATTTAGTGAGATACATTCAAGATCAACGAAGTATTTTTCCCATCGACTCTGAGCACTGGTCGTTGAAACTCAAAATTATACTACGTTCCAGACTAATGTAACCGAAATTAGATGAATGCCATGGTTTCTAACTTGTAACAGATTTATTTACAATAGATGCATTCCCTTCTCTTAAACGGATAAAAGTGAACACATGCATAAGAGAGGCATAATTTATTAGCCGTGTCATTTTTGTTGGTTCACACGGAGCTGTGTTTCACAGCAGCAGACAGTCTAATTCCACCATGCAGTCAAGGGTTGAAACCCTGCTCTATCTGTCTAAGTTTGGGCAACCAGATAGTATCGCTAACTCTCGCACAATGCTTACGGTTCACTGTCAGCTGCATGAAAATGCAAATGTCAGTTTAGTCACATTTCCATTCTTCTTATTGCCACTTTTTCCTCATTCATCCTCATTGTGCTATGTCAAGAATTAGTTTTGTCAAATGCTAAAAGTTTTTCGCACCACACACTACATAATACCCCAACCACAACGAAACTAGAGTATGAGGTGGCCACTGTAGTCATTTTTAAATTGAAAGATAATCGACTCACCTTCATATGATAAGCAATCATTTCTGTGTTTACTTTATTTTTGCTCTTCATGATATGCAATTCCTCATTTAAATAGGTCTACAATCAGACGAGAAGAAAATATATCGCCATATGTGCAAATCTCAGCTAGTATTAAAATCAGAATAGTTAATGGTAAGTTTCCAAATTCCTAGTTAGAAGATAAAATATTCAATACACATATTTCTACTTTAGACAGATTTTAACACTTAATAAAGTGAGTTAAAGAATTTTACAACTTGATCGCAATTAGATGTACAGTTAATTCTTCTTTATAAGGTTAATACATAAGCTTTAATGAAGGGAAATTTATACAATACCGAAAACAAAGTTAGTAACTATACAAACAAATTTCCTAGTCTCAGAATGAATACCACTTGAACACTTAAATAACATATGCAACAATATAAACCATTTAGAATGTGTTCATTTGACTAAACCGAATAAGAATGATGCTTCTAGGTGCTTAACTTGGAAGTTAGACGTAAATTTCATCTCATAACCATACAACAGAGACTGACACTGAAGTACTAAAATATGTTAAGTGTTGTTCAAGCCACAAAAACATCTTTTACATCGAAGTTATAAAAAATGAAGAACAAAATTAGGGGTGGTATTGGAAGCAGTCCTGAAAAGATGTGAGTGTAACAAAGACCCACAGGAGTAACCAGTAAAGGTATTTCACTTGGAATAATGACTTAATCGACACAAAACTCAAAATTCTTTATCGACATATTAGCGTTCGTGTATCCAAGCACTGCTGAAAAAAGAGGATAAGTAGTTTAGCGAAGAGACTCCTTCATTCGTTAATTTGTTGAAAAGAGTGTCTTCGCTGAATTATTTGTCTTCTTTCTTCACTAATATTATTATTCAGTGCACATAGGTATAAGGCACGAATTTTAGTCTAAGGGTTAGTGTAGCACAAGCCAATTGATGTGAACACTAGGCAGGGTCTTATAAAGTCTAGCACAACAACTGTCTTTGCTAACACACACGCTTAATTATCAAAAGTTTGCATCCAACTGTCTATATATATCTCACTTTGTAGTAATTATGCAATTTAGCAGAACAATTCAAATCTTACTAACCACAATTTAAACTATGGAAGCACAGTAAAAGTAACCATTTTGAAAAAAATTTAAGGGTTAACATGTTTCTTTCTAAATATTTGTTTTATGCGACAGCGTTTCAAGAAGTAATTGATCTTCGTTTTGTAGTGTCTCCTTAAATCACTCTTACAAGTGAGAAACAGCGAGATGTACCGTAAAAGAAATCATTAATTTACTGCACCTTGTTTTAAACTACTTAAAATTTCATTCTAAAAGGTTAACCACAAAATTGGTCAGCTTATTACTTTCAAGCTTTTGGATGTTTATACACTTCGATATATGTCCTGATCTTGCAGACAATCTAAAAGGTACAGTAATTCCATATTAGTTTGTTTATTAGGTATATCACACAGTGAAACAGTATTATCTACTGGATGACGTTTCGAACAAAATTTATTGTTCATAATCATATCAATTGGGATCACACGACTTTGACACTTGAGTTGTATAGTTTTCTTTGTTCTCTCCTATTTGTCGTATGGGTAGTAGAATTTTCTAGATATCGGGGACAGGTGATGAATCATTTCTATTACATGTATTTGTAGTTGATTCGATAAACAAAGCTTCTGTTATCAATCTCTCCCTATACCCTGTGACATTAGATTTTAAAACTGTCATCCTATCCCATCCTATTGTATGGTTGTGTGTGACTGCATGTAGTGCTATAGCTGAACTATTCTCTAAATTTCTTATCTTATTCGGGTCAACCAATCTAGATTTTGCTAAGTTTTTATGTTCAGCTAGTCTGACTGCCCCTGTTCTACTAGTTTGACCTATGTATTTGACCTGACAATCATTGCAGGGTATTAGATAAACTAAATTGTTTTGTTTTAAAGGCTCTACAGGATCCTTTAACCGACAAAGCTTGTTTCTAATTGAGTTTGTGGGTTTGAATGCCGTTTTTATTCCTGCCTTGTTAAGAATTCTGCGTAAGGCTTCCGAGGTTCCTTCCTTGTATGTATGTACTTTTATCTTTTGTTTTAATTGCTCAATTTCAGATCTGATATGTTGCAACTTTCTAACGATTCTGTGGATTTCTTCTTTCAGGCAAAACTTTTGTAGGCCTTCTATTCTGCTTCTAACCCTGTCAGTTGGAACTGGAGATCGTAGACGTAGATATTTAGGAATGATTTCATTTTTTAGGCATCGAATGTTGAAAATACGATGATTCTCATAGCTTGCTTCAGTTTGTGAAAGTCGAGTGAGTTTATTGATAAGTCTTCGTACAGGAAGACCATAAGTTATATTAGTATATGTGTAAAACTTGGGCACTGTGTTAGTAAGTAATTCCATATTAGTTTGTTTATTAGGTATATCACACAGTGGATAAGTGGGAAAGCATAGCGATTAAAACGTTCACCCCCGCCCCAAAAGTATGGTGGAGGTACGTAGATGACACATTCACTGTACTTAGAACACAAGATATAGATAGGTTTTTCGAACACATCAACTCGAAGGTTGAAGCAATTCAATTCACTTATGAATTGGAAAATTAGGAAGGGGAGCTCCCAATGTTAGATTGCAACGTGAAAAGGAAAGCAGATGGGAAGTTAAACACTAGTGTTTACAGGAAACCCACACACTCAAACAGATATTTGGACTTCCGATCATCCCATCCTATGTCAGTGAAAATAGGATTGGTGAAATGTTTAAATGACAGAGCACAAAAATTAAGTAGTACCAAAGATTTTAGATGATAAAATGTATTCCTCATGGCGTTTTAATATTTATATTGAATAAAATAAAGCAAATGAATAGTGTGCATTTGAGGAATTTAATTATTTAGAAGATCCAACTTGTAGGTCTTTCGTTTTCAAGGGTTTATCTCTTCAGTGCAGGCTGTTATTATCATGAGTAGGTTAATGGTCCAATCGTATGTTGTTTTGTAATGGATCGTCTGAACATCTGAGACCGCATATTTTAGATAAACTACAGGAAAATGTTTATTGTTATTTAGTTACTGATTACTGACTGTAAACATTTTAAAACTGGCCCCATGTAAAATATCTGTAATAATTTCATTATAAAGACTATTGATGAAGATCGCACAATTCACTATTCAAGATAAAGTTTTTAGTCTCACCAAGAATAAGAAATTTGTGCTGTTTGAAGAATTTATTTTAAGTCATGACCTAAGAGCACAAAGAATACAACTTCTGGAGATTAGCAGATTACTGTGAAATTATTTGTAAAACCTATTGATGAGTATAGGGACAGTCCCTGAATCGTTCCACTTGCTTGGTCGATAATCACCATCTCTTAACTTTTTTATTAGGTCAGGAATATCAGTCACTAGGCGAGTAATGTAGTTCTCAGCAAGCAGCTCCAGATAACTTACTCATATGACGTATCTGGATAATTTATTTTCTATAGTTTGGTTTGTAAGGATTAGTTATGTATTATTCTAATTCATGTGGACTAAAGACTTGGCTACGCGTTTGGAATGAAAGCAGTTTGCGATTATTTTTTGTCTTGAATGAATCCGCAGCACACAAAATCAAGACAAATTTATAGCCAAAATTTGCATATTTGCTGTGAAAAATTAAAAAACCTACTTGACGCAAGAGGACAGACAAGAAGTTAATGATAGTACAGGACAACAAATATCTGTCATATTTTGAAAATTTTTCCTTTACATTGCATTTACGCAATTCAATTAGAGTTGAATGACTTGCTCCACTCGAAAACATATCAATCCAGTATACACTGTAAATCAAAACAAACAAAAAATAAATACATAAAAGACAAATGTTGGATTATCCGATCAGGTTCAAGATGTTGAATCATTTTGGGAGAAACACCTTTATAATATACAGAGGTAAAAAGTGGCCTACATCTACATAGATAAGTAATAGTTATAATAATAAATCAACTAATTGGTAGCTATAGAAATTTACTTACTACCACGATAACAGATTTCTCAGATGATCGATAATAGGCATGAAATTTAAGTCGGAAACTGCTTAGTGCCAACTGATTCCCCCCTGTATTTACTATGGTAACTAAAGCTTCGGTTTACTAATGCATATTGAATAGAATTGTAGCAACGAATAAATAAAGGATGAGTGTTACAAAGGCATATTAGGTTTCCAAATGTTATATATATATATATTATATATATATATATATATATATATATATATATATAATGAAAGGATAGCTGGGCTTAATACAGATCCGAAATAACAATCACGATAACAATGATGCGGTACTCTAAAAAATAGATTGAGAAAACTAACTACGGCTTAAAGTTTCATCCAACTGATTCACTAATGACTAATCCTCTGCTGTAAATTTTTGATTATTTACTCCCGAAATTGATAAAAAAGTACTCTGTTAGACAATTAATGAAATAAATTCGATGACGAGCATGTGAATATGAGCATATTATAATGCATTTATTTGAATCTGTTATAACTGATGAAAACTACGTAGCACAAGTAAACACCGCTTTATGTATATATTGGCCTATCTTAGTACTTGTCTAAGATTTCTACTTGTTTTTGTTCACATGATAGAAATGACGTTAAGACAAGAGTTACTCTTTCCAGAGGTATCATTCTCATGCTGTACAATCATATATATATACACCTGTATATCTTATGAATTAAACGCTGTATAACATTAATTGTTTTGCCACTTGACACTTAACTATGATTAAAATCACAAATATTTTAATTGCCATCCGTACTACTATTATTATTTCATGTATTCACACCTTTGATCTAATTCCCACACCGGGTATAATTTCTTGTATATATATATATATGTATCCACGATTGTATTATTGTTATTATTATTATTATATCCTTTAATTCCTACAGGAACATAGGGATTCAGTCGTGCGTCTCCATTGCGTTCTGTTCTCTGCTAGAGTCTTCACCTGGCTCCATGTCTGCCCACACGTTTTCATCTCCTCTTCACATGACCTCCAAGTCACCCTTGCATTGACGACCAACTCGCCGCTTCCCTTTCGGGTTCCATTCAAGGGCTTGTCTAGTGATGTCAATTGATGGTTTCCTAAGAGTATGGCCAAACCATCTCCATTTCTTCCTGCCTATCTGCTTAACAATCCGTTCCTGGTTGGTTCGCTCCACGATTGTACAGCTTGATAATAAATTTGTTGAAAAGAGTCTCTTTGCTGAATATTGTGTTGTTAATGTTACAATGGGAATCATTAAATTATATCTTATTATTATGTAGATGATACACTCATTATTGTTAATAATATTACATTTTTTGAAAACTTTATTACTCTATTTAATCATAATCATTGTTAAATAAGAACTGAACATTTGTTGTACATCCAAGTATCCGAGTGACTTCCGGACTCGAACTGAATAACAAACTCAGTATCCTGGATATTACAATGACCAGTAGAGATGCTGGAACGATTCAGCTATCTATTTTTCTTAAAGAGACATAGAGTGGACAATACCTTCATTTCACCAGTTTTGTTCCAATCCAGTATAAACGTTCCCTAGTGAAATGCTTGTTCTTAAGGGTCCGAAAAATATGCTCGAGTGACACATTGATGAATGAGCTTCGACACATACATTCAGTTTTATTAGTTAATGGTTATCCAGAGAACTGCATCACTTGTCACATTAAGGATAGAACATATCTAGAAAAGACAGCTTCTGTACCAAAGAAAGCTATCTTTTTAACCTACCATTCAAGGGTGACCAGATTGTGCAGTTGACAGCTCAAAGACTTCGGTCAGCCATCAAACGCACATTCTACGCCGCATCTCTTTTTCTCACATGCCGAGCATTTTCGATTCCTGTACCTACCATTAAAGGACGAAATTCTGTGGACTCTACTTCAAACTGTATGTACAAGTTCATCTGCAGTCGTAATGACACCTATATGGGTAGAAACAATAGAATGTTTCAATGTCGTCGAAAAGAACATGTTCCAAAATGGTTACTAAAATCCAAATACAATTAATCTGAATAAAAATCCAGCATCATCCATTGCAAAACACTTATTAATGTTAAGTCACAAAATCAATATTAACGACTGTTTCACAATTATTTAACATAACTCAAGTTCTAGGTTATTGAAGTTGACAGAAGCACTTTGGATTAATCACATACAGCCTAAACTGTGTGCACAAAAAGCAATAGACGTCAACCTTCGCCTACCATGGACTACTTGAATTATTTAAATACGATTGGTCATTAGTATGTAGTTTTGTTTTATATAACTGAGTAATTGTCATGCACTTCATTTTATTTTATTTTCGAATCCCGGTGGGTGCGTACTGCCGAAGAGTCCCAAACTAGGACGAAACAGCTGTCCAGTACTCCCAGGTTTTCCAATGGTTCTCTAACTAATGTCAGCTCATGATGAAATCCTGTAACCAATCAAATCCCTACAAACCAACACTTGAAAATATTTTATTATTGTTAACCATGTTAGTTGTAAAGCGGTTGTAAAGAAACTACGAAATGATATCATCTCGTGAAATTTGTCGTCTAAATGCCTTATTCAAATATTAGTATTATGTCTTTTAATAATTTTAACAACTCAAAACAAATATAAACTCACTTTATATCAAGCTGATTGATAAATCTACTAACGTCCTCTATCCTATCGGTCTTCAGTGTTTCCATGTCAACATTGACTTTTAATATCCAAAACAAAATAAAGGGTACATTAATTTATACAGTGATTCCTGGAAAACTAATTCTTTTCATCCAATATAATGAATCTATTAACTTTAGACAGTTAAATCCAATAGTTTTCTAATTACAAACATCTTTCAGCCATATTAAAAATAATACGAGACTGTTAGAAAAACGAATAGTATCATAACCTGAATAAAATATTGGGAATGATTTAGACATAAATACTCTCGTTTTTTATACGAAGTAAATGGAATTCAATAGCCAACAACATTATCTTAACCACATAAATTGTAATTCAGATATGAAGAAACTTTTTCATTTATATGTATTTACCACATGTGTGACACAGTCATTAACCTAAATGATATAACATTGTGCAGAAGAGGTTGTAGGCTATTTATTTGGTGTTTGATGTTGGAAGTTAACCTCTTGTTTCCTAATCTCCAGCATGCAGCAGTAAAATTTAAGAAACCTATGTAAAGTCAAATATTTGAACCTACAGCACTTATTTTTCGAAGACATGATTTATTGGTAAGCCATTTGGACCATGGAAACTCCTCTACAGCAATGAATTATGCACTGTAAATAAATAGTGTATTTAGTCCTAAGTAAAACGCCTGAAGTAATTTGGTGGATGGTGATTAGCAAAAGAATCTACAATGCTCATTTCACCATAGTGGGACTTGTCATCTGAATGTACATGCATGGGGTATTGTAGGTTCTGGTTGTGTCAATATTCATATTCAAAGTTCACTTATAGTAATACTATCGAGCAAATTTAAGGGTTTTGCGGAGAGTTCCATATTCAGATGCCATTTAGCACTGACAACAATATTTCCATGCACTTAACTGGCCTGTATTCGATTCATGTGAATCTCTTGCCACCACGGATTAAAATGACAGGCTTATATATGAGTGTCAAGATATACGAGTTTTTCCGAGTTTGTCGACATGCACTGCTTCTGATTATGAGCGATCACGAAACCCTTGATAAAACCATCTTCTTATCGATTTACTCCTGGTCTCTATTGTTTTGGCTAAATCAAGCATACTTGGTCTTAGCCTTAAAATTACTTTGAAATGTATCTTATCTGCATATACTGCAAGGTGCAAAGTCGACAAGAATGAAACGTTTTCATGTTACTTCGTATTACTAATACATCTGAAATTTTGTTAATGCATACCTAGGTTAACTGAAAAAATACTTTCCTTCCTTATTTGAAACTTCTTACTTTGTTTAAATAAATCTTCAAGCATCCATTTTGAGTTATTCCATCGTTGTTTACGCACCATCTGTAAAGTAGGTGTAATGTCATAGAATATGATAATTTTTATGAGTGTATCAAAGGTATTTGAATCCTAATAGATAATTATCGAAAATATAAGGAATCCACTGCATTTAAAAATTGCCAAATAATTTGACTTACATCTCAAAAGCATTCCAGCTTTGCTGAACTGGGATAAATATAAATTTATCTAATACTCCTTAAGGTGGAAAACAATTCTTATAAGTTAATGAGCGTAGAAATAAGCGTGCGAGAAATTTCGTTTATACTTTTTTCTCTTAGTATCCCTGTACCGAACTCATTAACCTCAATTTATGTCCATCAAATAGACGAAATCAAGTTATTAATCAGGACATTAATCAAGCATCTACTTAAAGAGTTGATGAGATGAAATGTGGTTCATCGTTTCGGTTCGGGGAACTTAAAATCATAAAAAGGTGTCATCATGTCATACTCATTTCTCAAAAAGTGATGCCTGTATCGTGTGGCTTGTTGAGTTTAAAGGCGATTACTGTAAGTATAACTATGAAATCACAAATAAAGTCAAAAAACCTTTCATTGATAGCGATCAGCTGGAAGAAATATATTTTATACATTTGAATAAAGCAGGAACAAGAGATTTTGCAGAATAAAGTGGTACCATCATTTATTTCTTTGGCTTCCCATCAGCTGCTCACAGGCCAAAGTTATTATTAAGTATATCTACAGAAGCAATTTTAACATACTTGCACAGAGTTCATTTTCAAACAAAAATCAATCAATCAATATATGCACACAGTAATTATATATATATATATATACATGCATATAATATTCAACACCATTCCGAACAATAATGATCATACACAATGTAAACCTTCAACATTACGTAATCAGATGAAAGAGAGGTGAAAATATCCAGTTACCAGGGCAAAGAAAGACTGATAACTGCTTCTTTCTGCATGCATAAATCAGGTTTCAGGCGCTTGATGGAGATCGCTTCGATAAACTTGAGGAAAATTGAACTCTTTTGCTTATTGGTAATTTCCAACTATTTTGCTACATCCACCTCATGACCCGTGTCAAGGCGATGCCTGGCGATGGCACCGTTTAAAGTATTTTTTCTCTTTAGACATAGGCTTTTTGAAACATGTGCAGAAGATCGTAGATATGTTCTTCCCATATAACTGCTCCCGCAGACATGCAAATAAGCAAAAGAGTTCAATTTTCCTCAAGTTTATCGAAGCGATCTCCATCAAGCGCCTGAAACCTGATTTATGCATGCAGAAAGAAGCAGTTATCAGTCTTTCTTTGCCCTGGTAACTGGATATTTTCACCTCTCTTTCATCTGATTACGTAATGTTGAAGGTTTACATTGTGTATGATCATTATTGTTCGGAATGGTGTTGAATATTATATGCATGTATATATATATATATAATTACTGTGTGCATATATTGATTGATTGATTTTTGTTTGAAAATGAACTCTGTGCAAGTATGTTAAAATTGCTTCTGTAGATATACTTAATAATAACTTTGGCCTGTGAGCAGCTGATGGGAAGCCAAAGAAATAAATGATAGTGTACATTGGTGGCACAGCAGTAGAATTCTCGCCAACTACACATGTGATCTGGGGTTCGATCCTTGCCCGACGCACACCCGTTCACCCCACTAAGCCAGTAATGAGACAGGTAAAGAGGTTAGATTGGGCACTAGGCTATCAACCCTATCCCGTTAAATAAACACTTCTGCTTCCGAAATTTCAAGCCTGTAGCTTGAAGCCCTATGTTCCATTGAGAACTTAAAGGAATAAAAAACATTTTATTCTGTTCTGTTGTTCTTGCTTTATCCAAGTATATTTTAATTTATCAAGGTTAAATAAATGAGATACTTGGTGTTCTTCGGTTATTTTCTGACAGTTTCATTCAAGTATATCGGTTTGATTGTGACATTTTAAGAGGAGTACTTTATTTCTTAAACAGTCATGCAATATAAACTATTTTCTTGTTTAAAACACTATCAGCTGTGTGTTCTGGGGATAAAAGTGGGAATTCCTATATATTATCCTACTATTATACTTCTACCCTAGAGTAGTTCGTAGCCAGCAGTAAGTTCCTAATGCGGGAACAACTCTAAAAACCAATTCAAACTAACCATGTGTGATGGGCCTCAAGTAGTTGTCTCCTGGGCCCTGAGGTCACACACCACTAATTCTCCTTGATATAAGTACACAACTTGGGCACTGTGGTAGAGTATAACTCCATTATAGATAAGATTTTATTTTGATAAATCACACACTTTGTACAGTAATATTTACTGTTGACGTTTCGAGCACAAATTATTGTTCTTAATCATATGAGCAATCATATTATATGATTATAAGCAATAATTTGCGCTCGAAACTTCAGCTAATATTACTGTACAACACTGTGTGATTTATCAAAATAAAATCTTATCCATAATGAACTAATTCTTCTTCTGTTTCAGGTGCCTCAATGAAAAATCAACTTCCACAGTGTGGGCAACCGGGAAGTAATGATCGCTCATACACTTTCAAAATCACACGAAGATCTCCCAATCATCACCCACCTTTATCTACGTCAAATTTATCATCTTGTTTTCCTTCTACTGTTAATATTATTTCACAGACACGTTCCCCATGTCTTCACTCTGTGACGAATAATAGTGGCGAGAACCAGAGAAATGCTGCCGACAGTCTCTTAAAGTGATGCTTCCAACCTCGGGACCTCTTGAAAAATCGGACAACAGGTATTACCAGCTAGAACTCTGGCATCTCGGGTCATGTGTGTATGTTATGTTTCGGAGAGGTGCATACAAGTGTGGTTATTCGCTTGACTTCACCTGGCCAACAGAGTAAATCTGCTAAATTAACTCTGAGGAGTTCAGGAGACTGTACAGCTGGTTCGCGAGGACTCACATGATTGGGGATAGCATTGATTACCAGGGTATAAAAGTCCCTACTCGAATGGAACTTAGTGGATAGTAGTATATGTACTATCCACCTGAAGGGATCCGTTAGAAGGGGGAAAGGCTCTGATACCTGTCGACGTCTTTTCATAGTCTCCGCTTCCTCTCCAGCAGACTGCAATTCAGACAAAATAAAGTATGAGTTATATCAAGAGCTGGCTAATTTACTAATGAAAGCAAAACGCTCAGATACAGGGGTTTTAGCAGGTGACTACAATGCTCAGGTAGGGAAGTTGTGTCAGCCTGAGTAGTGTATTGGTAGCACCTACAGAGTTCCATTCCAGAGGACCGACAACGGTGATCATCTCCTACAGTTCTGTTGACGTAATCATCTGTTTCTAGTTAGGACTGACTTCAAAGACAAAGATAGATACTTTTTAGTCTGGAAACATCCATCATCAAATACACGATAAGTTCAAATAAGCCAGACCGTTGGCGAGAGTCAGTAAAAGTCTGCCGCTCTACCCGCAACACGTATGTAGACGTTGATCACGCCCTAGTCCGTGAAACCATATAATTACGCTTTAATGGGCAAAGAAAACAGATAGCGATGAAGTCGTCAAGCTTTCAACTTAGTTAGAACACTAGGCCTCTATTCAAGGAAGAAATAGCTAAACATGTATCTGAGATTTACAGCAAGACTAATCCTGGGGAAGCCTGGTACAAAATCCAGTTAGCTATACATATGGCTGTTAAGACTGTCGATAACTAAGGCTAAAGGTTAGTAAAAGTTAGTGGATTTCTGCTACTTCATCCTATCTGATAGATGCAGGAATGCTGACTCTAGCAGGTGCCGAATATGATGAGGAGCGAAAGCTGTTCAAATGCAAACTGACAAAAGTTCTTCACAACAACCATAGACAGTGATAGGCGAAAAAAGCGAAAGAGATGGAAGAGAAATCGGCGTTAGGTAACACCAAATAACTGTTTAGGCTTACTGAACAAACAGGCCACGAAGGGAAAACGATATGTGTGACGATATCTGAGAAAAATGGAGCCCTAATTAGCTCTAAGAATAGACTACAAGAAAGCTGAAAAAATGTTTAGAGCAGCAATCTTGGAATGTTTGGCATGTGATTTTCTCCTATAAGGTGTAAGATGATGCTACATTAGTAGACTTAATCGACTGCTAGCTTCAAGATTGAGAGTGAATTGGTAGAGTGCTGATTACCTCACATGTTTGGGAAGTTGCTGGCTATTGACAAAATCTCACCACGGATACAGAGGGTTCGTGTCGCACTTGATAACTTACGTCATCACTGGCATAGACGTGATACCCCACTATCGATCAAAGGACTAGTGCAAAACACGTCAGTTTGCTCTGTCATCATTTATGGCTGTGAGACATGTACATTGAAAGTGGAAGACGTGGAAAGACTAGGTTATAGATACCTGCGTTCTTTATCCTAAGTTAAGTGGTATGGTAAGGTGAGTAATATTGAGGATAGGTATCGAGTGTTAGGTTAGAAAGGAAAGTCATTTGAAGAAGTTGTGAGATAGCTAGGGTATGGGTTACGCAAGCCTAGACATCGCCTTATTCTATAGCCAATGTAAACCAGCATGAGAGTAGGTTGGAAAAGAGAAAGAGGTGGTCAAACCAAAACTTGGCATCTGTACATGAAATCTTCGGAAGTTGGATGCACCACATCCGACATCTTAGCTGGAGTGAAGACTTCTGCCACTTACTAGATTACCTATCCCTTATTAACATTCCCTTGGATTACGAGTGAAAAGTAAGGATTCAACATTACCTCAACATTTAATCATAGCCCCTGTAGTCTCCTTGATCTCAGCACACGACTGAATATTGATTCTTATTTCCTCCTCACACGATCTCATACATGTCACCCTCGCACCCACACCCAACTCATCTTTTCACACTCGGATTACACACAAACGATGGCATGACGCCCAGTGACACTCAACAGTCTCCCCAACGTGTCCGATCAATCTCCATTCCCTTCAGCATATTTATTAGACAACAGCTTCTTGGTTCCCTCGTTCCCGGAGGTCCTTGTCAATAATTCCTTCCGACCGA